CCTGGCTTAGGCAGGAACATTTGTGGAGTGAATCAGCAGATGAAAACTCTCTCTCACTGCCTCTTAAACAGATGAGTGAGCCAGCCCTGACTTGGGACATCTGTGTACTGCAGGCTGGCATGCCTTCTTTGAGTCGAGCTTCCTGTTAATGTGGTAGCAGGCAAGGGTTCATGTGCCTGAGTCTCTGCCACCCACGGGGGAGACCCAGATTGAGTCCCCGGCTCCTGAGTAGATGGGACAGCGATACCTCTGCCTCTTGGCTTCTCTGTCTCTGATGATATGCTTTTCCAAAGCCAAAACCAAAGCCAAACACCTAGCTCATCTCTGCTCCAAGGGTGGCCAGCAGAGAGGTGCACGGTGACCCAGTGTTCTGTCTACAGATGCGGAATCACACAGATACTGAACAGTGTCTGGACTATACATGCATCCAGAATTACACCTGTTACAGCACACACAGGATATGTGAATTATACATACATGCGTAATTACACCTGTTCCATTAAGTATTCTCTATGGCACTTGAATTTTACATACACCTACTTATGCCTGTTATATATAGCACAATATTATATATTATACATGCATATATAAATATGCTTGCTTTTATGTGATAAATGAATTATACATGCACACATAATTAGACCTATTATATATAATACACATATATTTAGCCAACGAATTATGCTGATACCTGGTAAATGAAATATACATATTGTATATATGAATTATACATTTGCCCAATTATACCTGTCATATATATATAGCTTATATATTATATGATATATAAACTATACATATCTGTATTGGTACCCATTATAACAGGGATTGTGGGATTTGTGCTGTGCGTGAACCCTGATCATCCCTTTTAACCTGCTTTGTGGAATTTGGGGAGGCAGAAGGAAAAAAAGAGAGAGCGAGAGAGAGCATTCTGCACACTGCTCTGTGTGGTGTGGATCAACCCACTCCAGGAGGCCAGAAGCCAGTGGGGGCTGTGGTCTGCGATTGTGGGTTACATTCCGCTGGTTCTATGGTGCTGTGGTCCCTGGACTTAGGGGAGGTCAGTCCAAGCTGGCAAGTACAGGGGAGTTTGGGGGTATTACAGCTCTGAGGTGTCGCAGACACGTTCAGAGGGTCACCCTGCCAGCAAGCTCCCCACCCAATCACCTCTGGGGTGTGGGCTCACCGTTTTCTTGTTTTAATGATTCCAGCATCAATAAGTGTGTGGCCGCCAGATCAAAGCATGTCAGATGAGAGCAGAAGCTCTCTGACACTCACTCTCCAGCAAGACACGGCTCTTCCCCTTCCTCCCTTCATCTTTGTCCTCTGGAATGGACTGGGCCCGAGCCATGCAAGCCCGTTTGTCATGCTTGAAGTATTGGCACTGTCAACTGCCTCATGGAAGGTTAACTTCAGTTGCACGAGGAGCCTGCAACAAGTGGCCAGACCTGCCTTGCCAACCAGGGATGGCAGAGGCTGGAGGGTGCCCTAGAGGACTCGGATCATAGTGGTCATCCATGGCCTCTGGAAAGAAAATGCACATGGTTCCTCGGGGTCAACCATGGAGGGGATGTTTCTATGCATCTGGAGGACCTTGTGAGCACACAGGAGCTGAGTGAGGGAAGAGGGTGACCTGCAGCTCACTGTGGGAGCGGCCAGTCTCCCACACCTGGCCCTCAATGCCCATGCCCAGGAAACAGACCCAGTTGCAGCGTGGATGGCCAAAGCAAATACCACTGGCTCTGGGAGACACAGACATCGGGGCAGGTGCTGGGTACAGTAGGGGAGTCACTGCTTGATGGTGCCCAGGGCTCTGTTCCCAGTCCCAGCTTCCTGCTAAAGCACACTGGGAGGCAGCAGGGGTCCTTGCCACTTATGTGGGAGACCTGGACTGGGTTCTGGGTTCCGGACTTTGACCTGACTCAACCTTGTCCATCGTGGGTGGTTGAGGAGTGAACCAGAGGATATGGAGTGCGCTCTCTCTCTCTCATTCCACTGTTCAAATGAAATGAAAATAAAAGTTTTAGAAAAAAAACAGAGATTGGGAAATAAATCCTGATCATTTAAAGTTTAAAAAGGGAAAACCAAATCCATGAGGAAGCCCTAACCCTCCATTTCACCCAACAATACAACATACCTACAGAGAGGGACCCAGGATGGAGCGAATTAGAGGCCCAATTCCCTGACTGCAGGGGGAGGGAGGACCCAAAGATCTGTACTATACTGAGAGGAGAAGGCTGAGGAAAGGAGCAGGGGTGGGTGAATGGTAGGGGGAAATCCCCCCTAGGGTCCTTTTGGGGGTTGCCATGGCAACGGACTTCCAAGCCAAGCATTAGCTTCTGTTCTAAAAGACACCGATATTCAGGAACCTGGGACCCAGAACTAGGATGGGAGGCTCACCTGCCTTTATGATAGGGGCGTAACCACACCTGTCTTTATTCCAAAGGAAAAGGAGAAACTAAATGAAAGGAGCTGACTGTCCCTACAGGGACATGAGTACACGACACAGAGAGGACAGGGGCTGTGAGGGGGCACCAGGAGGTTGCTACTGCATTGCAGCAGGTGCGAGGTCCCGCTGCTCCTCCACCACCAGCCACACGTGGGGTGGCTCCACTTCTACCTTTAAGGTGCCTTCAGGAACCAACCACAGAACACACAGCAACACCCATCCCCCCTACACACACACAAATGCCACTGCATGCACCTGCTATGTACTTGGGCAAATCTGAGTTATCTTTGCTGGAAAAGCAGCAACAGGGAGAGGGGATGTGTTTTAGTACAACCATCCTCTGGCCAGTGCAGTCTGGAGAAGCCCTTGCCTGGGATGCTTGGCTGTGGTCCACACTGACCATGTGGACAGAGCCAGGAAGGCACTGGACTTGTAAAGGTAATGCAGACACACATTACATAAATAGGCATGGCCTCGGCAGGCAAAAGTGGCCATCCCATCATGGGTTGCTGTCTGAGGGGCAGCTGGGCTGCTTCATGCCCAGCCAGCTCTGAGTGAGGCCTCAGGATGTCCCTTTGGGAGAGCTGGGTAGTACCAAGGCACCTGTGACAAGGGCTGGCCTGGGGAAGCATCTAGAACCTAGCTAAATGTAGGGGTCGTTCATAGACCCTGCTGTTCCCACTCTGCTGACTCACCTCTGCCCCCACAGCTCTGGCTTCTGTGTTAACCCCCAATTCTCCCTGCCATCTGTTCTTGTGCTCAGGCATGGGCAAGGGGCTCCCCGCACCTGCTACCTCCTGGGCTCACCTGTGGCTGCTCTTCTTGAGGTGATGGAAGAGGAGTAGGTGACAGGATGAGGACTTGCAGCAGCTAGTGAATGCCAAGTACTGGGCAAGCGAGTGCTTTCTGAGTGGGTCCCTGGCAGGAATCACCCACTTGTGTGTGCCACTGCACTAGACACACCTTGCTGGGATGGAAGGTGGAGGGTGACAGGGTATGGGCAGCAAGAGCCAGGTGAGTGCCGGGGGGGGGCGTGGACAGGGCAGGTAACCTGATCTGCCCACCTGTGCATCAGAGGACCCCCTTGAACAGGAAGTAGCTCCTCTCACATGACCTTGGGGTCTCATCACATGACCTTTCCCCTTCCCCCAGCTCCTGAGAAGCCTGGTAAGCCAGAAGCACTCTCTCCATCTCTGTGGCTGGCTTGGACAGATAGCTCCCTCTCCCTTACCTTTGCTTTCCTGGCCCTTCTCCATCCCCAAACATGGCCTGTGTTGGCTGCGATCTTCACCTCAATGAGCCTTACCACTTCCTAAGTTGTATGGGTGCCTATACTTATAATGCTTTTTTTAAAAGAGACAAGAACCTAGGAAATGAACCACGATGTTCCCACCTAGAACCCCAGGCTGTGCCCTGGGCCTTTATAGGAAGCCACTGTCCAGCCTTGCCCTGTCCTGGCTTCAAGAGGAGTGGACCCCGTCACTAGCTTGTCCTACACTCGCAAAGCAGGCATGTCCATTTTCACTTAAACACAACCCAACCAAGCCACAAGACAGGAGGAGAAGCAGGCAGAAACACGCCTTTCAGTATAAGTCTCAAGTGTGCAGGGAGAGCTTTGTGGGGTAGTCCTGAGAAGGGAGTGTTGGCCCCTAGGTCAGCGACTGGGCCACCTTCAGGTCCACGGAACTGTATGAGGCTGGCAGATATGTTTTCAGAAACACAGAGATGCACCTGCTGGGAAAGGTTGGGGTGGTGGGGGAAGAGAAGCGATGGGCATTTCCAGGCTGGTCTTTTGGGTCTATCCATGCTGCGCTGGGCTTGGCAGGTCTGCAGGTGCTTGAGTCAGCCACAGCTGGGCAGATGCACGTGGGTGTGAGGACAGAGCCTGGGGGCTCGGGCCACTCACTTGTTCAGGGGGATGGACACGTGGTGCCCCTACACAGATCCATGGCCATCAGAACAGGAAGCGTGTTTTATAAACACAGACTAGAATGATCATTTTATTGGTACATAGGGTTACAGGCAGTTAAAAAAGACCTGGGGGTGACCAACAGTGTGGGATATGGCTTAGCTTCTCAGGGCAGAGATGCTGTCCTGTTACAAGGAGTCCCCAGACCCCCGAGGCAAGGGATCCCCACCCCAACACACACGGAGGCCCGACGACCATGAACGGCAGGACCAGGGCTAAGGGGACCCCCACACAGCCCCGGTCTCCCCCTCCCTCTCCTTCCCCACCAGTGCCCGGGATGTCACCTTGCAGTTCAGATCCCCCAGGGAGGGACAACTGGCCCTTGGGGTCCCGTTGAACTTCAGCTCGAGTCATGCGGCCATGATGCTCTGTGGGCAGACAGGCGAGGAGGCTGCAGTTCCAGGTGCTCTGGTGGGACCAGAGTGGCGGGGGTGCGAGACACACCTGCGACGACCGACCTCAGCGGCGAGGACGTTAAGGCACTGACAGTGGCCCCAGACTCCGTCGTCCCCTCCCCCAAAATCCCCTCCCCAAGAACGTGTCTTGGGTGAAAGGACAGAAGGCGTGCATGCCTCCCAGCTCCGCTCAGGAGTAGAAGGGCCTCCCTTTCTCTGGCGTCTGCAGTCTGCTTAGCCGGGCCACTTGGGATGGGGATGGTGGCACGTCCTGCCGGAAGGGCCCCTTGGCGGGGCCATAGCTGGCGTCCTGACCCTTCTTGTAGGCTTCGTAGCCACTGGTGCCACCACCACCACCACCACCACCACCGGGGCCCTCGGGGGCGGGTGGCTTCTTCATTTGCTGCTCCTTCCGCCTCTGCTCCTGCCGCAGCAGCTCCTGCGTCTCCAGCATGACCCTGGCGTTGAAGCCGTGGCCGCCCAGGTAGCCGTTGCGGGAGCCCTGGTAGCTGGAGTAGCGTGGGCTGTCCTTGGCGTGCTGGAAGCCGTCACCCGGCGGGCAGCTCTGCTCCCACGTGTCCTGCGAGACGCAGCTTGTGTTTTTCCTGCTCTGCCTACAGGGGAAGGGAAAGCAGAGAGGTGAGTGGGCGAGGCCTGGGTACGTGGGTGGGTTGGGGGATGGAAGAAAGGGGACAATGGGACATGCTTCTCTAGTGCCCCCGGCTGGAGTCATGGGTCTGACCACCGTGGCAGCAGCTGCAGGCTTCCTTGGTGCCAAGCTGAGGGAGAGAGAGACAGACTGGAAAGAGCTTTCTTTTCTGAGAAGCTACAGCTGAGATCTACCCAAGCAACACAAACACCTCTCACACAGCCACGCGCCACCCTGACACCTGCCCGTGGACTGCACTGTGAGCGCAGTTATGAGAGATTTCAGTCCAAAGATGCAACAGGACCATGTGGGAAAAGCCATGGCTCTGGGCCATGATCGCCCCCTACTCCGGCCCCCTCCCTGTCCTCACCCAGCCCCCAGGAGCTGTCCCCCTCTCCCCAGGAGGGGAGACACATCAGAACCCCACAATGTCTACTTCTTCCCACTTCCGCAACACAAGGGAATGCGGTGACAGCTTGGTAAAGACGTCTCAGATTTACTCTCGTGCCTGTGCACGTGTTGATGCATCTGCAGTAAGAATGGGCATGACACAGTAAAGCAATCGCATGCCCTTATTTTATATTTTTTGTGCCTTGAAAACGGAAATGAAGGAGAGACAACCAAGTCATAAAGCAGAAACAGATTGCTCCATTTATCAACAGGGAAATTGTCCACGCTGCTGGCCTGTCCCATCCAGCGCATGGCAGGCCTGCAGGCTCCGCAGGGCCCCAGAAGGCGTTGAGGAGGTCTGGAGGCTGCGGGTCTCCCATAGCAATGAGACAGTGCTGGAAGGACCGTGATGCTGTTTGGGAAGATGAAATCTCCCCACTTTCCACGTGCAGTGATGGGAAACTGGGTTTTCCTGTCCTGGACTGTTCAGGTGTCGACAGCATCACGTCCTCACCAATCAAAATCATCAACTTCAAAAGCGAGCCTGCTGTGGACTTCCTGAACGCACAGTCCCACCGTGCCAAGGTCACAGTTCGGCCTGCAGACAGGCCTATTTGTTCCCCAACCCTGGAAATGCTGGGTAAAGACAACAGGCTTGCCACCTTGCATCTCCTCCAGATGTGGCCATGACAATGACCATGGCTGTCCACGCTGCATTCATGCAGCACCCCAGACAAGCCAGCCTAGCAAGAAGCCTCAGAGGTGCCTCGAGCCCAGCTGATTCTGAGAGGTCATCAGTGGATCTGCCCAGGGCACGAAGTGATGGGGAGCAGGGGTGCAGAGCCCAGGAATCGACATCAATCAGGAGACTTGGATTACAACAGTGCACTTGGGCCCAGCACGATAGCATAGTGGTTAAAGTCCTTGCCTTGAACGTGCTAGGATCGCATATGGGAGCCAGTTCTAATCCCAGTGGTCCTGCTTCCCATCCAGCTCCCTGCTTGTGGCCTGGGAAACCAGTTGAGGATGGCTCAAAGTCTTGGGACCCTGCACCCACATGGGAGACCCAGAAGAGCTCCTGGCTCCTGGGTTCGGATTGGCTCAGCTCCAGCCGTTGTGCTCACTTGGGGAGTGAGCCATTGGACAGAAGATCTTCCTCTCTGTCTCTTCTCCTCATATATATATATATGCCTTTCCAATAAAAATACATAAATCTTAAAAAACAAAAACAAAAAAATAAAAAATAACACAACGTACTTGGTCCTGAGACCAGGGCAACAAAGGCACGCTTCCTTTATAGGTTCTTGATCAACTCCAAGAAGATGGGAAAAAGCTGCAGCCCTCCACCCTTCTTTCCAGGAGTCCTGGGATCCATCAACTCCCCACCCTCCATCCCTTCTTCCCCAACTCCACCACCACAGTGGACAGTCACACTGGACACTGGATTCTGCATCGCCCCATTCAGACATCCCTTCTGTGTTGAAACACACTGAGAATTCCCTGAAGGTTTGCTAGGGATAGAAGCTGTGAAGACACGAGAGCACACGTTTCCTGCAGCTAAAACCTTCATCCTCGTGAAGAGGAAGAACAGGGCTTCCCTGAGGTCAGCCACGTGATGTGCAGGGAACACGCACACATGCACAGGCTAGTACCTGAGGCTGAGGATGGCACCCCTGTTTATCCTGGCTCCAATTCTGTGCCAGCTCCCCTGCTGTACACCCCGGGAGGAGACTTGGATTGGAGATCCTGGCTTCAGCCTGGTTAATCATGGTCAACTGAGCAGACCAGCACATGGAAGATCTGTCTATTCTTCCTTACAAATTAAATGAAAAATACATAAAATTCTCCAATAGGTTCACTAAATGTAGAACTAAATGGTAGGTTTTTTTTGGGGGGGTACAAAAAAACCTGAAATCCATGTTCACGGAGGAGGTACATCATAACAAAACTCTGCATAGATTTCAAACTTTGTGCACCATGATAAACAACTTTTCATTTCATTTTCCCCTAGACTTTATTCGGTCCTCTCCGGTGTGTGTGCGTGCTCGTGTAATGAATGATGTTGGCCTTGCACTACCCTTCTCCCCATCTCATTCCCTGCTCTCGTCCTCCTCCCAGGCCCTCCGCTTTGCTCTCCTACTCTTTGGTCTCTCCTACCCCGCCTCCAACCCAAGCCCCAGCCCTCTGCTTTACTCAAGTCATTCCTGGATACTGAGATCCCAGAACTAAACCCCGAACGGCAGCAGGGACGAGGAGAAACGGAGCGGAGGCATGGTACTTCATCCGCACGCGAGACACGAAGATGCACGAGTCCAGCCCCCACGCTCACAGCCACACTAGAAGCTTCGGGGTGCCCTCTCCCCATCAGCCTCCTCCACACGATCTGACCATCGCTGGGTGGTCAGCCTTCCTCCACACCCGGTGCAGCCCGCTCACTCACCGTGGCAGCGAGCTGTACTGGCGCTGGGCCTGCTGGAAGCTGTCACGCTCCTCCTGCCGCTGCCGCTGCACCTGCACCTCCACAGACACCGAGTGCCTGCCGCTCTGCGCCGCTGGCCGGGAGCTAGGCTGCAGGAGACAAGGGGTCGATGTGAGCTCAAGCAAGAGGGAGAGGAACAGTGGGCAGCCAGCTGGGGAGGTGGGGTGTGTAGGGACCCAGCCTCGCTGGGCCTGACGTTGGCCTGTGGTTTAGAATTGAGTCCAGAATCTCTGGTCTGTTTCACAAGGTGCGGTCGACTTGATGTTGAATGTTGGTATATGGGACCTCACAGACACACGGTGAGTATGTGGCTGAGGACCCTCCAAGCACAGAAGCAGCCCCTCACAGTAATGGCAGGCACACCCGTGCCCAGTGGCCCTGCTGGGACATTCTGGTGGTTCCACACTATAACCTACAATAGGATACAACAGCAGAGAGCTGGTTCCCCCTTGGTGACCGGATGAGAATTAGGAACTAAGATAGGCTCAGCTTGCCACCACAGACCCTGGCACGACCACCACCACCATGCAGATAGCAGGAACGTTTATCCAAAGAGTAAACTTCTATGGGGCCACCAATTAAGTTGCTTCTCAGGACACCAGCACTCCTATAGGAGGGCTGATTTGAGCCCCAGCTGCTGCAACAGAGACATCTGTCACAGACTCGGAGCTGGAGCGCCAAGCAGGGCTGTGGCTCTTGTGACCCTCGGTGCCCATGTATCACCTGGCATGGCACACAGACCTGTGTTAGCTGGAACCGGCCTATGGAAAATCAACAAGTGGCCTCTGGGCAGAGGAAAGCGCAGCGCCCAAGAGGGTGCTCAGATTGAGTGTCGCAGCACAGGCATGGAGAGGGGTTGGTGACATGCAGCTTTGCGACATCAGGGAAGGCCCCGCACCCACTGCTCTGTTCTGCAGGGTCAGCACATTCTCATTCATGGGGAGCCAACCACATGGCAGTGCCTGAAACAGTAGCATCTAAGCAAAGCAGCAGAGGAGGGCTTAGGATGCCCTCATGTGCATGGCCAGACTTGCTGGGATGCATGTGTGCCCAAACACATGCCCTATGGCACCACCATTCATGTCATTCCAGGCAGGCCAGAGGATCAGACAGAATGCTCCTGCCAGCACACAGGAGTGGGAGAGGGCGGAGGCGAGTGTGAGTGCCCCCAGAACAGCCTGGGACAGAGGGAGAACAGTGCAGGAGGAGGGTCCCGAGAAGAGCCTTGGTTCCCTTCCTGCCCCCCCCGGCCTGTCCCAGACACCAGCACCCAGGGCTGCACAGCTATGCGATGGGGGCCAGGTCTCAGAGGGACTGAGCTGTGTGTACCTCTGCATCTCTCTTCACAGCACACAGAGATCTGCCACAGGGCCACGTTACATGGATACCAAGACATCAAGCGTCTAGACAGAGCCCATGAATCCCGGTTGGCCCAAGACTGCAACGGAGCTGAAACCGGGCCTGGTAAAAGCCACCTTGCACTGTACAGCTGCCAGACATGCTGTGGGGACAGGGACACTGGGGAAGTTTTGCATCTACACTCCATGGTCCCAATCCCATGGCACGAACAGAGACATGTACCCACACAAAGAATCTAAAAAATGATGACATGTGGCTTTGTCATCTCACTGAAATGTGCATATTTTCTTTCTCTTTACCTCTGCCATTCTACCTTTCAAATAAACAAAAAAGCAGCAACAAAATCATAAATGTGTTAACATTTACAGAAAACATTCAACAACTTAAAATGTTCTACCAGTTGTCTTAATATTGATAAGAAAAATAGATTTCTCAAGCACACATGTGTATTTGAGAAATTCATACATGTAATATTAGCATAGGTGATCATTTTGAGCGGACTTTCTACTTGAATTATAAGTACTGAGAATCTTTAAATCTACACCAATGTCTACAGCCAGAATGACGACACAATGGGTCGGGTGCTTTGCATGGAGATGGACGCTGAGGGCCAGGCTGACCAGGACCCCAGAGAGGTCACTGCACCGCTGGGGGACCGCACAGCCTTCAGTTGGCATCACAGGTGCCCTGACACGCCTGCCCGTACCACCCCCCATAGGCTGATAAAAACAGCCACCGCAGACCTGGCGGGAGGGCGGCAACCGAACTTACATCACGAAATCGCGCCCAGAGTGTAACTTGTTCACACTGGGGCTGAGTACTCTCTGACAGGCAATTCCCTGGGAGCCTGCTGCCCTCCTGGTCCCTTGCAGGGCTCTGAGTTGCCTGGTGACCAGAGCGTGGCTGGTGGCTGGAGAGCCCTCCCATCTCTGCCCTGGGGCACCTTAGGGTCCTTTCACTGCCTGCCTTCCTCCCATCCTTCCCACCACACAGCCCTTTGATCTGCACCACAGGCCAACAGGCCAGGCCCTCCCATTGCCAGGTGCTGCTGGCACCCGGGGGACAACTGTGCAAGTTCACACCTCTTCCTAGGCTGCCCTCACAGGTGGAACGAGTTAAAGGTCCCACACAACATGGGTCCCCAGCTGGAGCTGGCGGAGGGGGAGGAGGGGTCACTGTGGATCACAGCCACATCCCCTTCGGTCCCCTAAAGTGGGTGGCACAAAGTGGCCATAAGCAGGTAAGTGGAACCCTAAAGGGCAAGAGGTGCTCTCACAGGCCCAAGACAGATCTGTGCAGAAGCCCAGCCAAGGAGGCCAGCAGGGCCGGGGCTGACACGGGGCCCCACAGAGCACACTGTCCATCTTTTTAGCTGGGAGGACTGGGCTCCTTTCACTCACTACCGACTAGGGATGGGAAGGACTGAGCAAGACAGCTTTTCCAGGCCCCATCCGGCAGGCATCGCAGCCGGCGATGCTCCTTTTGGGCACCGCTCACATCTCATAGCAATCAGTACTCGGTGTGACAGCCTGCGATTTCAGTCTTTGAAAGAGACACACACTGATGCCCTGTCCTCATGTGAGCTCAGCCATCATCCCATCCTCTGGAGAAAGATTTAAAGTAACGTGCCGTTTTATTTATATTGCACCTGGCACAGCAGGCGGAAGTCACTTTTTTTCCCTCTCTTTTCTTCCTTAGCTTGGGGTGAGAGCTGAGCAGATTTTCCGGCGCCCTGCCCTTCTAAAGACCCTTGGAGCCATAGATATTTCTGGGAACAGAAGGCCCCAGGACAGGTGTGTTTCCTACCCCTGGAGTCGACAGGATTATTTTTCAAAATCGAGGCACTGGGAATGCTCCATGGTGAACTTTCTGGGGTGAACGCCCGGTCTGCAGTCATCAGCTTAGTGCTTGTCTGCAGCACACACCGGGTCGCGTTCGTGTGTGGGCAGTCCTACAGAGCTTGCAGATTCCCACTAATGATGGTGTGGGCCAGGTGGAGGGTTCGAAGGCGAGCAGTGACCCCTTCAGTGCAGGATCGGGGAGGGCTCTTCCAGGGAGTGACATCATGCTTGCTTCCGCTCCAGCACAGTGACCTCTCAAGGTCAAGATGCACACGGGCAAAGAGGAAAGCAATTTCCAGATCCTCCAGGCTCCCTTTGCCAGGCAGATGCACAAAGCCAAGCTGGACCAAGGCAGCCGCTGCTCACCAGCTGCAGCTCCGGCCACCACGAGACTCGATGAGAACGCGAGCATGTTACAGCCCGTTGGAGCACACAGCAGAGAAAGGCCCCAGATTGTTTTGAAAACACCAAAGAGAAATAATGTGAAAAAGGTCAGCCTCTGACCCATGTGTTAGGAAGTGGCTCCATGACCAAGGTAGCAGTCATCTGCCACTAGATCATCTGCCTCCCTTTGGCTACAGGAAGCAATCTGCGGCCACACTTGGTCACTACAGGAAGCCCCGTCGCCGCACCAGGCTGTCATCTGAGGTTGTTCTGGCTTGGTTTCCGCAGGTGGAAGCTGGCCAGCGCCCTTTGGAGCTGGGATTCCAAGAGTCCTCTCCTCTCTAATGGGACTGTCCAAGTGAAGTGGGTAACACAGAAACCTGCATCTGCACATTCACATCCCTACGCCAGGAAAAAAGAAAAGCCTACGGAAACCGATGCAACAGAGCCCACATCCTTGGCCGTTCTCTTAAGAGGAACTCCTGGCTCATTCAGACCGGACTTGAGGTCTAGCAGGTGGACTCTGTCACCACACAGTAGCAAGTCCTCGTTCTTAGCTGCCAAACACAAGGCCCCGCTTCCCAACACTATGGGTTCATAAAAGAAGTTCAGACTCAATGAACTGGGAGTCTGGGGATGTTGCTTGGGATATCCACATTGCACTCTGGGGTGCCTAGGTTGACTCCCAGCTCTCCTGCTTCCAATGAAACTCCCTGCTGATGTGCCCAGCCTGGTGGGCAGTGGGGAAGGGCTCAGTCCATGGGAGACTAGTGGAATTCTGGGCTCCCAGCTTTGGCTGCTGTGGGCAGTAATGGGAGAGAGGGAATGAAAGAATAAATCAATCTCTCTTTCCCACTCTTTCTTCTAATGGACACTGGGGTCTCTGCTCTTCTCAGCCCCTCGTGCAAATGCTGAGGTCACGGCATCTCTGCCATGGATCGTGATGAAGTCCTGCTTTCAGAAATCCAGCAGGGTGAGATGGAGTCGGCGATGCCAAGTGATACCTGGGGAGCTAACAGAACTCTGTGCTGTCACTGCATGGGAAGGCCCCGAGTCACCTGATCACCTAGAAGGGCAAGTTAAATACCTTGGGAGAAAACATCATCAACAGCAATACTACTGCGGAAAACAGAGATATTTTTTCCCCCGATTTTCTTGCTTCTTTACTTTAGTTCTTATTGATTTTATTTGAGAGGTATAGAGACAGACAGACAGAGGGAGGGGGAGAGGGAAAGATTGATCTTCCATCTGTGGAACTCATTCCCTTAAATGCCTATTAACAGTGGACCTGGGCAAGGCCAAAGTTGGGGACTAGAACTCTTACAGGGTCTCCCACGTGGGTGGCAGGTGCTTGAGCCATCACTATTGCCATCCCGGGTACACATCCAAGGAAGGTGACGTCAGAAGTAGGGATCGGACTTGAACCCAGTAGCAGGGTATGAGCCAAGGCCATTCCAGGTGGTATTTTAACGATTGTGGCAAAGATCTGCCCTTGAACTTTAATCTTTTGTTTAAGAGGCAAAGAGAGAGAAAGAGAGAGAGACTGATTTCTCATATTTTGGTTCACTTCCCAAATGTAGGCAATGACCAGAGCTGGACCAAGCCAAAGCCATCAGCTGGTCTACTCCACTTGCATTACAACCTCCCCAAGGGTTGATGCATGAGGCATTTCACTCCTTGGTCTATGCTGCCAGTCACCTGTTCCAAGACCCCATTTCACTCAAGGAGCAGACCTAGGGGCAGCCTTTCAAATGCATATGGCTCCTGCCATTTTCTCCAGGCACAACATTAATCTCCCCAGAGAAAACAGGCTTACACAGGTTCAGACACCATCTCTGGCTGCCTGTCCCTCTCTCTGCCTTACGAAGAAAATAAAGCCAAACAGAACACCTGAGGCAGGCGCCTGGCTGGGCAGTCAAGCTGCTGCAGTCCCACGTGACCGTCCCTGGATTTGATCCCTGGACTCCACTCCTGCTCCCAGCTTCCTTCTGATGCCGATCCTGGCAGGTGGCGATGATGCCTGCCACCGTCATGGTGATTTTTCTGACATCATCTTCCTTCTGCCCCTGATCTTCTGGATACCGGGCGTCACTGTATTCCCAGCCCTCTGTGAGCTGGGGCATCACTACGCAGTTCCCACCTCTTCTTTCTGGGGGTGCATGCACCCCTTGGGCCCTCACCGCTCATTCCCTCATCCAGAGCTGTGTCCCTCCGAGACCCTGCAGTCCAATTGCCAGGGTGTTTCATCTACAGCCTACCAGGGTGGATAAGGCCTGGCCTTAGCAGGATTGCATCATTGGCACTGTGGTACAGCAGGCAAAGCTGCCAGCTGCAATGCCAGGATCCCACAGGGGCACTGGTCCATGTCTCAGTTGTTCCACTTATAGTCCAGTTCTCTATTACTGAACCTGGGAAGGCAGTGAAGGATGGTCTAAGTGCTTGGGCCTCTACACGCATGTGGGAGACCCAGGAAGAGGCTCCTGGCTTTGGCCTGGACTAGTTTCAGCTGTTGAGCTCACTTGCAGAGTAAGCCAGTGGATAGATCTCTCTCCTTTCTCTGTAACTCTGCCTTTCAAATAAAAGCCAAACAAATCTTTAAAACACACACGCCAGAAACCTGCACTGTCTTCTTGTGTCCCGAGCAACACTTGTCCCATGACCAGCCACAGTCAGTCCTCCTGACCTTGAGCTGCCATGTGTCCACCCAAATGTTCTCCCTTCCACCCAGGTTCCTTACTGTGCCACTCCTCTGATCCCCAACGCCCGGGTGGGCTAACATCTGTTGGGCAGATCATGGGCTCAAAGCATGGTCGGGCACTGAGCAATGCCACTCAAAGCTTTGTTTGAGAAAGATCAACCTGGTGGCTGTGTGCAGGCCTGACCGTCATAAGCGAGGGTCCAGATACATGCCCCAGGGGATGCTGGGCAGTGAAGCACGCGGCACAGCAGACGCTGGGGGACATATGTTGAGCTCATCTGCTCTGCCCCTCATTTTGAGAAAGATGAATCTGTGGAAAATACTTACCAAATTGCAAGAAAGAAAAAACTTCTTTTTTTTTTGAGAGCAAGAACACTGTTGCTGTGTCCTGTCATAAGGCTAATTAGATCTATTACGCCACGCACAGATGGTGCAACAAGATGCAAAATGAAATTAGCGGTGAGGACACCCGGATGGAAATGAGGGGGAAGGTCAACATGTGAAAGGTCGGGGGCACACGGGCTCCACTGTGTCTCATTTCCTCCGCAGAGGGGGCTGAGGTCATAGCTCGGGCTGGGGGCTGCAGGGGGAGGGCCTCCACTGCAGGGAGGGGTGAGGCTCTTACCCAGGGCTGCTCGAAGCTGTAGGTACGCCGCCGGTCTTCCACGTCTCCCTCCTGCTTCGCCTGCTGGAACTCCTGCCGCAGCCGCTGTATCCGGTCATGGTTGCTGGGGGTGGATCGGTTGCTGAAAAAGAGCACAGGGTCCCGTGAGCACCACCTTCTCCAAATGCCCTCTGCTGGGGCTTGGCATTGGAATGTTATGTGGGCACCAATAGGGCACCTTGGTTGAGGACCTGAGACTTGGGCCCCTTCCAGATGCAGCTTTGCCATGGGGACCTAGAAGAGCCACACCTGCTTTCTGCCACCTGATGGGGGGGCCGGGAAAGGCCGACAGGTGCACCTGAAGACAGAGCAAGAGCCCATCTGAGCTCCCCAGCCTTCCTACACCCAGGCGCTTGGCACTGGGAGCCACAGTAGGTTCTTTCCTCCTCTCACAAACTTTTCTTTTACGTATGTGAGGAGGCAGGCAGACACAAAGAAAGCTTGCCACCCCAGATGCCCACAGTGGCTGGGCTGCGCTGAGGTTAGACACCAGGGCAGGTGACAGAGATTCAAGTGTTTCTGAGCCGTGGTCACTGTCTTCCAGGATCTACATGGGCAGGATGCTCCAGACAGAAGACAAACAGGGCGACAAGCCCAGGCACTCAGTCCCGGAGTGTGGGTTCCTAGCGTGTGGACCAGGCTCAGTGCCCACTCCTGCAGTTCTTCAGCTGACAGTTTTGCTCCAAACGGCACTGTTGTGATCATCCCATGGGATGGCATCAGCACAATCTCGCCACACCCACGCGCACAATTATCTTCCCAATGCCGTTTGTTATCTGAATGTCCTGCTAATGAGCCACAAGGTCTATGATGGAAAGGATCTTCAAGCAAGTTCAGGCGGCCACTCCAGATAACCAGTTAGTAACAATGTGGCCCCTTCTAGTGCTACCCTGGAGTTGGTCTTCTCCTGGCAGAGCCTGGAGGACAGGCACGGGTGATTACAAACGCACACAGTGGCACTCTGAGAGACTGTGTGTCCCCCCACCCCCCGACCCCGCTGGCCAGTGGGATGCAGGCTCTTGGGTTCTGAGAGCCCCTCATCCCACTCTGAAGCATGCTTCGTGGAACACGGACCCCATAGCAGCAACCCTCCTTGGTAAAAAAAAACCCATTTTCTGCTGCAATAACAGAGCTCAAGAAGCAAGAGGAAATCATCTTAAATGTCAGTGTTTTCTGTTTCTCAGGGTAAGAATAAAATCTTATTTTGTTTTGAAGATTTGGAGCATTTACTTTTTAATTTGAAAAGTGGAGTGACAGTGAGAGAGGGAAAGACACACACGAAAGATCTTGCTTCTGCTGTCACTCCCCAGATGACTGCAAAGGTTGAGGCTGGTGAGCCCCAAGCCAGGAGCTTCATCCGCGTCTCCCATGTGAGTGGCAGGGACCCAAAAACTTGGCTCATTCTCTATTGATTTTTCCAGCCACATTAGCAGGTAGCTAGATATCAAGTAGAGTGGCCAGGACATGAACTGATACTTTGACAAGTGGCAATGCAAGGTAGAGGCTTAACCCACTGTATCACAATGCCAGTTTATATCATGCCTTTTCCATGCTGTGTAGAGGAGGAACAGCCACAGACTCCAAAAAGGAACCAACACATGATCCCACAGACCCTGAGTGTGACCCCAGAGACCCACAGCACACCAAGTTCTGCCTTCTGTGCACCCCTACATGCCTGTCAAGGCTGATGTCACGTGCGAGAGGCAGCCTGAGAAGGGAATGGCTAGCCAAGCAGGAGAAATACAATCCTCTGGCAGGCACGTCTGTGTGCACACATCACTGTGTGTATCCTGAAGCATTCCAACAGCCAGAAATTCTCACATAGAAACACAGCCAAGAAGGTGAGGTAGCCAGTCTCTCCGGGTAGGAGAAGTGGTGCTTTGCAACCTGTGGCCCCGTCCATCCCAGGTGCAGCTTCAAACCTCCCTGCCCCGCTGAAGACACACACTTCTGTGGCCACAGGTTCTAACCACCACCGGCTTTCAGAAATGCCCAGCAATGGGCCTGGTACTGTGGTGCCATCCACTAAGCCCCCACCCACCTGCAACAGGGGTATCCCATCTGGGTGTTGCTGTGAATCTAACTATTCCACTTCTGATTCAGCTCCCTGCTAATGTGTCTGGGAAAGCAGTAGAGATGGCCCAAGTGCAGTTCTCACTGTGGTGGCCTCTCCCTCTCTCTCCTTTCTGAAATCTGCCTTTCAAATAGATAAACCTTTAGGGAAAAAGGAAAATTCCAGCAGCATCTCACTGGTACAACACAATCTTGCTGAGGGTGAGCCATGTCAGCAGTGGTACACAGGGACAGGCCCCTAGAGCAGCAGCCCTGACTCTGCCCTGGTCCCAGCAGTCAGGGGAGGATCCACTCACAAAGCACACAACACAGACACCTTTAATACACTTCTGTGAGCACAGATGTCCCTGAGTTCAAACCTCAATGACCGTTCGTGCCGAATGCCAAGTCCCAACAAAAGTCGCTGCATCTTCTGCTGCCCGGTGACCTCCACAATTATGTTTTCAGAATTAAGGGCTGGGGGATCAGGGGTGCACTGGGCTCCCTGTCCTCTCCCCTGGCCAGTGATGGCCTAGGGTCAGCCAAGCCCAGCCACAGGGAGTGCCTGGAGCCTCCGGCATGGGCTGTGGGGCTACATGATGGATGACAGCTGACGGAGGATGGAAGGGCATCCAGCACCTTGGGGAACAGCAGTTGGCAGTGCAAGACGGAATCCTGGCTTCCGGAGATGCAGCCGTCACCACCGCCCAGTTCTGCTGCCCAGGCTAGCCTGCCATAGGCAGGCAATTCAGATTTGGATGGTTAATGTCCTATGCGAGTGCTTCTGCCAGGAAAGCTAAAGGAAGTTTTAAATATTCATCAGCAACAGTGACTAATCCCTCCAGCTCCCTATCAGCTCGGATACAGGGGCAGTGCCAGCCAGCTGAAAGCTGCTCATGGTTTCTTTGTGTGTCTGAGGAATGTAACCTAACACCTGAGTCAAGGAGATGGGCGAGGGAGACCATGAAATACCAAGGCATGTGTCACGGAGTGAAGGGGCCCACACGGGAACATGAGCAACATACGGAGGGGTTTCTAAGAGCTACGACACAGGCCGGCTTCCATTCAATACTAACACTTCCTGTAGTCAACTGGAGCTGTCCTTTAAAAAAATAAACTGTAAAATTTATTTGAATTTATTTGACAGGCAGAGAGGTGCACAGACAATGACAGGAAGCTAGTTGACTCCCTAAGCCAGGGCTGGGCCAGGCCGAAGCCAGGATACAGAGGTTCCATCTGGGTCACCGTGTGGGTGGCAGGGACCCAGGCACTCAGACCAAGCACCTGCTGCCATTAGGGCATGCGTTCATGGGAAGCTGGAATGGGGAGTGGAGCTGGCACTGATCCCAGATACTCCAGTATGGGTACCAGGCTCCCAAGAGGGAACTTAGCAGCAATATCCATCTCCAGCACCTGGAGTCGCCTTTTACATACACATATATACATCTTCAAAACATTCACACACACACAAAGGAGAACTATGAAAAAAGACATGCCTGGATTTACAAAATATTTTTTAGCAAAATAAACTTACCTTTCCATTCCACTTTCCCACGTATATTCTAAAGAGCCCTTGGGCATGCATGAGTATGTGTCATGGCAGCCCCTGTGTACATGTGTATATGTGTGAGTGTACCCTATGGGAGGGTACCTAATGCAGAGGACTAGCTTTAGTCCATCTGACTTGGTTGATTTGCTACAGGTCTAAGAAAGGGGAGGTTGGCTTAGTCCTAGTGGACTCCCAACCCAGTGAGCACAGTGTGACCCCAAGGAACAGGGAACTCAGAGCCACGGGAAGACCGAACAGTGATCAGGGCTGCGGAGCCTTCAGGCTGCACACTGCCACGGGCCTGTCTGCACCCATGTTTAGCAGCCTGCCTTTGCTCTCTCCACTCCTGCGAAACACAGCACAACAGGCTCCCCTCGGTGCTCCCTGAGAACGGGCTGTCTTAGCACCCAGTCTCTGTCACTGTGCTGAGACGAGGTCATACTAAGAGCAGCAGAGTGCCAAGGAGTAACACAATCACCCCCCCAGGCTCCACACCCCTGTGGTCAGCCACCCACACGAAGCACGCGCAGATGGTTTCTCTTGTTACAATTCCCTAAGCAAAGCAGCATGACAAGCACACACACAGCACTACATCATGTTGGGTACATCTAGCCACGAGGGGTAACACTGTGCCATCTTACAGAGGCACAAGGGCTCCTGGAACCATGGACACTAGGGTTAAAGTCACTGTGACGCCAACATCCCACATGGGTACCAGCTCGAGGCACAGCTGCTCAACTTCCAATCCAGCTTCCTGCTGATGTTCCTGGAAAGGCAGTAGAAGGTGGCTCAAGTCTAGGGTCCCTGCTACCCACATGGGGACAAGTGAATGGAGTTCCTGGATCCTGGCTTGGGCTTGCTCCAGCCCTGGATGATGTGACCATTTGGGAAATGAAACAGCAGATCTCTTTCTCCTTTTCTCTGTAACTCTTTCAAGCCAATTTCAAAATAAACTTCGACCCCCCTTCTTGGGGACTTCCTCCGACCTCCTTCCAAGGAGCACCAGACCTCAGGTTCCAGCCCCTTGCAGCTCTCCCAATCCTCTCCCACACTCATTTCCCACTTCCTGTTTTGCTGAAATTGCCCTCTAATGCAGCACTTGCCAGAAGCGGCAAACACCAAGTGCATTTCTTTCTTAAGCTTGTGCCTTTGTGACAACTACTTTACACGTATGTGTCTGTCAATGAGGGCACTTTAAAGTCAAATTGAAAGATGTGGATGTTGGTACAAAAAACAGGATGTCTGCCAGGGCACCTGTGCGGTGCCACAGGATGCCATGTCCTTCCTACTCGGACTCTCTCTCCACTGTGGCTGGCTTTCAAGAAGCCAGTGTGAGTCCCACAGTGGCAAGGAGCAGGGCACAGTTAGTGACAGTGTCTGGAAGCTGACCTGGCCTTGGTTGGCAGTTCAGAGAGGCCCCAGCCTGGCCACATTTGGACCCCAGGCCTGCCAGGAACTATTGTTGGGGAAACATGTGTGGC